ATTGTATTTATTTGGGTATATGCTTACCTTTATTATTCCGAACCATTACGCATTTATTTACATAGAGACTAACAGCCAATCTTTTTATCCAGATATCCCGTGGACTTTGGAAGAAGTATGGAGACAAGCGGATCATCGATACGCCAATCACAGAAATGGGCTTCGCCGGAATTGCTGTCGGCGCTGCCATGGCCGGTCTGCGTCCAATCTGCGAGTTCATGACCTTCAACTTCTCTATGCAGGCGATCGATCATGTGAGTAGCACGCACCTGTACCACCCGAAACACCCACCGCCCACACACACCACGAGCAGTAGCTTAACTACTCATATTATCTCATGGAAATACAGAACACGTCAACTCCAAATCTATGTGCCTATACGCCGCGTTAGCTGAATATCAATTCAAGTTTGTCACACAATCCGCAAAATATAAATTGCCTTCACTTTAGCGTAATGGGATAATATGGGTCTCAAAATCTGGTTGAGCTGCTGCTGAAGTACAATCTAGCTGTCATGCGGACATTTAGCCAAAACGATTGATTGACTAATTCCACCCATATTATCCAATTATGTGCAGGCAAATTCGCTTAAGCCCGCCAACTACAACGATAGGCTCGCCTTGCGGCCATTGGTCAGGCCACAGCCCATTGGTGATTCACCACTGCTGCACAGGAAGATTATCGAGAGTCCGCGCTCCAGTCTCCTAACGGAAATCAATGATATACTGCAGAGAGAGCGTGTTGGCGAGATAATTGCACCTCCGCTGGACAGGAGCAAACCCGACAAAATGGAAGCGGCGCGTCTGATTGTCATTCGGCGGCGCAAGATGAAGAAGCACAAGCTAAAGAAGCTGCGTCGCAAGATGAAGTTCGAGTGGGCCAAGGTGCGCCAGCGACGAGAAATGCGCAAGGAGAAGGCGTTCCAGGCACAGCTAATGTCACAGATCAAACAGGCGGAGAGCTTCAATGCCGAACAATATGTGACCGAGGTGCTGCGCCAGGCCAACGAGGTGCCTCTTCCCCGATACTGGAAAGGACGCCGGCTGCCCGCATTTATAATTAAGCAGAAACTAGGCGTTAAGTAAAGCAAAAAGTCAAGAAAATAAAATGCGAGTGTACAAACTTGAATCTATATTCAGCTGATCGTTCTGAGTAATTATCAATTAATTACTCTCCATTCATTAATACACGTGCAAACAGCTCTCATCGGGTTGCCGATTTTTAAATACCCTTGCAGATGTAGGATTGTAATATATATATCTTCATATTCATACAAAACATAAAGTATACAAAAGATAAGTTATACCAAAAGTAAAAAAAAATATGTTTTTAATACAAAATCACCATCACAATCCATTGTTTCTAAAGGCACTGTATGAAATAGTGGTCCGATCTAGATAAAAATGTAATATATAGTAAATCTAAATTTGGTTATATAATACCATCTGCAATGATATAAATTGAATATCCTGCCTTACATAATTTTATAATCAACCAAAGCTGGAGTTTATCCAAGTATATGTATTTTATATTATCCAACTGCAACATTTTCGTTTACCATTAGGTCATAAACTCAGCCGCCAAGACATTTTACATGTCTGCTGGCGCCGTCAACGTACCCATCGTGTTCCGTGGCCCTAATGGTGCCTCCGCTGGTGTTGCGGCGCAGCACTCACAATGCTTCGCCGCTTGGTACGCTCACTGCCCTGGCTTAAAGGTGGTGTCACCCTACGACACAGAGGATGCACGCGGATTACTCAAGTCTGCCATACGTGATCCCGATCCGGTTGTTGTGCTAGAGAACGAACTATTGTATGGTACTGCATTTCCTGTTGACGACAGCGTGACCGATGTTGATTTTTTGATACCCATCGGCAAGGCAAAGATCATGCGTCCGGGCAAAGACATAACAATAGTGGCCCATTCCAAGGCTGTGGAAACGGCGCTACTCTCGGCCGCCGAGCTAGCTAAGAAGGGCAAGTTTAAGCGGAAACTAAACTGTAATATTAACATAATAATCTTATAAATGGTGTTTTGCAGGCATCGAAGCTGAAATTATTAACCTACGTTCCATTCGCCCTCTTGACATGGAGACCATTTTTAATTCAGTCCGCAAGACACATCATTTGATCACCGTAGAAAACGGCTGGCCTCAGCATGGTAAGTGGCCAGCTAAATCTAACTCTCACCTATATAGTAATAATTTTCTATTTTACACAGGCGTTGGTGCTGAGATCTGTGCTCGCTTTATGGAGGACCAGGCGTTCTTCGAGCTAGATGCGCCCGTTTGGCGTTGTTGTGGTGTTGACGTGCCCATGCCATATACCAAGTCCTTGGAATTAAATGCACTGCCCCGTGAGAACGATGTTACAGCAGCTGCTCTTAAGGTTCTCGGCAGCAAAGCGGGCAAGAAATAAACGAGAACGAACGCTTACAAACACAGGCACATGCTAACTAAATTAATTGTCCTCTACGAAATCGATAGGCAGAGGTAGTCCAAAATTGAAAAATACTCGGCAAATCGAAAAGTGAAATTGTTATTATTGGAGCCGCATCGATAGCGTTTTGTTCCCATACGCAACATACTAGTTGAAATAATTATATTTGGTTATCGAAATCTCTGCATAAAATAAAATGTACAACTATTTTATATTGGCAGCTATTTTCTTAAATTAACATAGAAATTTCAAAATTGGCGGCTACGTTGCTTGCAGCCCTGATAGTTGCGCGAGAGTGCTGAGCAATGACAGCAGCAAGATAACGTTACCCAACACTTCTGCTTTGACAGGGGGAAAAAGTATCAATAACAAAAACAATTATCAATGAAAAATCGACTACGCATACTAAGTGCAATGATTTGACTGTAATGGCAAATAGCTCCAGCTCCGATGAAAGCTCCAAAGCACCAGAAAATTTTCAATTATCAAGCGCATCCACAAACGACGACGAGGACGATGTCAATGTCTGTGATGGCGTTGCTTACAGAAAGAAGCATCCGAATTGCGATGTGCGCGTAAAGCCAACAGCTGGTGGCGCCTCCACAGGTCTGCGTTGTCCACTGTGTTGCAGGTACCAGCGACGGCTCCATTGTCGGACTTGTGTCAAAAATGGAAATATTACCCATAGTTCAGCCGAAGAATCCGAAAGGTTGTTACTCATTCACACACATGTACACACACACAAAGAAAAATAAATTATTCAAATCTTTTTAGCCTTACGGAGAAACAGCAGAAATATATCAACCTGCAGGCGGGCCTAAAGACCTATAGCAATCGATATGAGAACCTCATACAGCAGCATAAGTGTAATGAGAATCGCATGATAGCGATCCGTGCGAAACGGGAGCAGCTGCAGTTACTGCAACAGCTGATCGGCAGCACAACGCAACGCCTGCATATGTTAAGCGAGCAGAGGGATGAACTACGTCATGCCAATGCTGAGAAACGCAAAAACCTGCCCAAGTATCCCACCAAGGTGAAGATGCTCGAAGACTATGTAATCGATCGCTCTATGCGCATTGAGAAGCTGCGCCAGCAGCACATGAGTCTGTTAGACAGCATCAAGCAGACAGCCCGCCGTGACATCAAACAGCTTGTCACCTACATATTTCCCATCTCGGAGGTGGTGCTGAAGGACGAGCAGCAGCGAAAGGTATGCGCCGAGCGCAGCGAAGATGCCGAAACAATTGCAGCACTGGCCGATGCCAAAAACACTTCATACATACGCGGCAAATGGGTGTTTCATGGCAGCGGCATCAGCGAGGTGCAATATCGCATAGTGGGACCATCGTTGCCCGCCAACGGCGACTACTCCGCCTACCTTGACTGGCTGTCCGACAACAAGGACGATGTGCCCAAAGCCACGGCCAATGAGATAACGCCCAGTCGACTTGAGGCCTATCGCATAGTTGGCGCACTCACCTACACGACACAGCTGACGCAGCTGCTCAGCTTCTATCTGAATGTGCGGCTGCCGCACAAGATTGCCTACGGCGACTTTTGCCGCAAGCTGCTCAACGAGGAGCAGTTCCTGCGCAAGGTTTGTCGCGTTAACAACAACATCATGTATCTGGCCTACTCACAACAGGTGAAGCTGCGCGCACTCAACGAACAGCATACGCTCGAAAATATACTGGCCATCTTGGATCTGGATCGCAGCGATTTGGGCCGTTACGGTCATTTGGATGTGACGAATGCGCCGCTTATGAAATCCGTGGACTCGCTTCTCATTGGCATTGAGACGACTACGGAATCGGAATCTGAAGGTTGGAATTTGTTCAAATATGAATTTTTACAGTATACTCTCGATAATCCGTACAATTAAAAATCGTGGTATTCAAAGAAAAAATATTAGGGAACAAACATGTTTGTTAAGTTTTCAATTATTAATAATTCCATTTGTATACATACATTCCCATACGGACTGAAACTTTTCTCTGGTGGTTAAAGTATGCTAAACTATGCAAAAATATAAAGTGTACAGGACCCAATTAATTTGAACTAGTTTAGTAATAATATTAATCTATAAACTATACATAATAATAACAAGTTTGTACTGTTTATACAACTAATCGATCTATCTCCTTGCAGATGAAAGTTCGTTACGTCTGGACTGGGAGGCAGTGCCGAGCGTCAGCGTGTCTCAACCAGAACTCACAGAGTCCAATCTGATACCTGCGGTGGCACAACAATCCACCATAGCCATGGCGGCCAATCGCATCACATCAATGCTTCGCTGGATCAAGTGAACCACTTACCTGGTTGCGTGCGTGTGTTATATCTCTTAAATTAGGTAAGGTTGGTTTAGGCTAAAGAGCGGTAGAGCTGGTAGAGCGGGGGAGCCTTCATGAGATAACCATCTATAGAAATTATGTAAAATATATACGCAATGGAAATGTCTCCCCAAATGGATGAGAACTATTGTCACAGTTTTCTTGAGTGTTATTGATGGCTGCTGTTTTCATGTGCATAGAAGGAACTAATTTTGAGTAGACTACGCGCTTTTGTTTTATTTTTTTATTATATAACTTATTTTTCTTTTATTTAATAAAAATTGATTCACTATAAATAACCTGATACAACTCGATTGATTCTTAATTCTTTCAAAGTACATACTTTAAGTTGGTGGACTTGATTCTTCAAAAATAAGAAAAGAAACATACAAAAGAAATACGAAAACATCACATCCGGCACACACACACACACACCGAACCCGGCATACCCTTACTTTATGCATACGTGCGTCACTTGGTTGTTAAGCATGTCTTGCGACCCATAAACCTTTTCAAGTCTTTTTCCTGGCAGTGATGCAGACGCACAAGATAAATGCACAATAGTAGTTAATGCCGAGTAGTGATAGGAGACAGGGCGGGGGTTAAATGACTAATGCTTATGAAACCTACAAACTAAACATATTAATTCCCTTAACTCTGGGAGATAGATTTTTATAATGGTCAACTTAGAATCGCTTAGGGAGCGTGTGTGTGCAATCCATATACCTAAACAAACTTTGTCGGCAGTTGCGCCGCTTGCGCCGTGTTTGCTGCCATATCGGTAATCCCTTCGACAGCGGTTGCGGGCGGCGGGGAAGGCTTCAGAAATACTTGTGGCAGTGTTGGTGTTGTTGTTATTGTTGTTGCTGTTGCAGTTTGAGTTGAGGAACTGGCCACTTGAGCGGCAGCCAGGGACCCATTCAGTAAACCCAATTGCGCATCGTACGCATCATAACGGGCGGAGGCGCTCATCGAGGAGAGCACCAGTGCCGCAGCCACTGCCTGCTCGTGATTATAGAATGCCGACACCGACACCGATTGGGGCTGTGTGGCATTCCCCGTATGTCATTGATGCGTTGAGGCGCCAGCTCCCGCTCCAGCACCACTGCCCGCACCAGTGCCGGCACCCTTGAGTCCGGCGGAGAGTAGCGAACATTTTGACCATTTCATTTGCTTCTCGAGCGCCGATAGGTCCGATAACTGTTTCATTATCTGCGGATTGCGACTGAGATCGTAGCCAACAGTAGACGTCGTGTTGGACGCCGCATTTGCGCGTATGACGCCGGGTCCAATCTTGACGGCAGCATTGTTGTTGTTGTAGATGTACATGTTGTCCAAGTTGAAACCAACCGCACCATTAAGTCCATTGGGCACCGTGCCCGTTGTGCTTATGACTGACGTCGTTTTACTCTTCTGGTTGGCTTTCGACCTGGGCTTGGTGTGGCCTGGATTTATGTGCTTTACCACAGCCGGATAGACGCCTACAATCTCCACGCCGTCAGACTCGCTGCTGCTCTCGCAACGCACTACCGCAGGAGGCACTGGTGGCGGCGGCTGTGCTGGCGACACCTGAACGGGCTGCCATTCAGTGGCCGCCAACTGCTGCGATGTCTGCAATATGTCGCTGGGACTCTTATAGTCGTCTAGATTGATGACATGTGGCACAGGACGTGCTGCAACGACGCTCGTTGTGGAATGTAATGCACTAGGTGACTGACTGTTAATGGGCGCACTAACGCTGGCCGAAGCGGCGTTCAGCGACGCTGCCGTTATCATGTTATAGATGCCGTGCTCCGTTTTGGTGGGCGATGCCAGCTCCAACATACTGGCTGCTGCCGCCACAACTGCTGCATTAAGCGCCGCCGCCTGCTGCGAAGTGCTGGGCTGCGACATCAGCGTGTCCAGCTGCGTCATTGGCGTTGGTGATGGTTGCTGTTTCTTCTTCTTAGGCGGCTTGCTGCACTGCTTTGAATGTAATGTGGAACCACCCATCGTTGGTTTCTCTAGCTTGCGCTTCAGACTGGTCGATGAGGCACTTTTAACGGAATCTGTATCGGAATTGGCACGCGAGCGACTCTGCGAGGCAGTTACAGTGAGCTCATCAAATTGCTTCAGGTAGTTGTTGACAGCTGGCAGAGACATCGTTTCAATGGCAACTGGTGCCATCTGCGACGCGTTGTTGATTTGCGACATCTGTGCCAGCGTGGCCGCCAGTTGTTTTTGGAACTTTATTTTTGGCGGCTTAGCGCTCGGCTTTTGCTGTATCGTAGTCGTGGCAGCAGCAACGCTCGGTGGCAGTTCAAGTTTACGTTTGACACTATTGGATGAGGCACTTGTAGCTGAATCTGTATCGGAATTAGCCCGCGACCGACTCTGTTCAGTGGCCGTTAGTTCATCGAGCTGCTTCAGGTAATTGTTGGCAGTTGGTGCTGTGGTTGCTATGGCCGTTAGCTGTTTCTTTGCTTTCTCTTTGAGCTTCTTACTAGCGTGCTTATGGCGTTCGATCTCGCGCTGCAGCTCCTCGTAACGCATCCAGCCTGTGGCCCACACATCCACTATTTTGTCTTTCAGGTAGCCATTAATGAACTGCTCTAGCGAATCCTTTCGCTTGCCCAGCACTGCGTAAGATGTCCAGCGCGCCTGGTAAACCTCGTACAGTCGCTCGCGCAGCTCATTTGTCCACTGGAACTTTTTGCGCGGCATCTTTGGCGGATGCTCGGCGTTGACATCAGCCGCCCTAAAAGACAAAATCAAAATGAAAACTTTACCAACGTGTTGGTATTATATTTATATCTTACGCTAGCTCCGCGAACTTGTGCAATTCGATCTCGTAGTTGGCAATGGCCTTGGGCATCACCTCGGCGACTGCCTTGCGTAGACGCTCCAACGCATTTGTCGTCTTATTCTTCTCCTCCCTGGCGCGCAGCGCCTTAGCCTTGCGCAGTATAAAATACTTGGGCAGTTGTAGCTGGTATTCCAGATGCGCAAACACCATGTTACGTTCATTGCGCTCCGTGCAAAGCAACGCTTCGTAAACCCTAAAGATTAAAATTAAATAAATTGAATTTGTCTTTTGGTTAAACTCACTTGAGTAGAAGCGCCGTCAGTTTGCCATCAAAGTAGAATCTTTTGCCGCACAAGTCTCTGCTTCTGACCAGTTCCTTGAAGCAATTGATGCTCGCAAGCATATCATTATCGAGAGTTGCTGGTAGAATGGTATCCGCGGGTCGTAGATCTAAAACGAATATAAAGGAAAAATGTCAGCAGGGGCAAAAAGGAAGTTCTTAACCGTTCGCTTACTATCGCTGCCATCCTTGGTCTTGGGCAGCTTCTCGGATCTTCCTTGCTCGCTGGCTGAATCGGTGTCATCGTTGTCGCTGCTAGAATCCACAGTCGTTGAAGTGGTGCACTTGACTTCACCGTTGACGGTGATTTTCGAGGGGCCTTCGAGCTGGCCCTGAGATTTAAGGAAGCTGTCCCTTTTGGCCTTTAGCATATCCTTAACGGTTGTCGTCTTGACCACTTTTTTGAGCGCCTGAGATTGCCGCTCCTCCGTATCCGAGATGTCTATGGCATTTGGACGCGGCGAGTTTGAGGAGGAGGACGGTGCCACGTACAACTTGCTGCTTGGTTTCTTTCCATTATTGTTGACCTTCTGTTTGATGGCGGAACTCGGTTTGGGACGCTTCAATGCGGTTTGTTTGAACTTATTTTTGGTATTGGCAGATGTGCCGCTGGTCTCATCGCCCAGACTTTCGGTGTCGCTGTCGGAGCCGTCAATGCTCTCGCTATCGCTATCAGAATCGTCATCCTCATCGTCGTCATCCTCATCATCATCGTCTTCACCATCATCCTCGTCCTCATCATCATCATTATCATCCTCATCATCATTATTATTATTGTTAACTTTATTATTCGCGACTTCTTTCTGTTCATTATCACTTGCAGAATCAGACGATGACTCAGAGGAATCATCCGAGCTGCTGGACACAACACGTTTGCGCGATCGTTCCGGCATTTTGATAATGGCATCGGTGCGTCGTGTGCTCGATTTTTTGTTAAGGTTCTTGAACTCCAATGCGCCGCAGTTAATATAAAATCCACCCTCCAGAGTCTCCACCTCTTCAGGCAAGATTTCATCGTACTAAAATTAAATAGCATTAATATAGTGTAACTGGGCAGGACAACACAAGCTTACGGCCTCAGTATTGTCTATAAAGGAATCGGACTCATCGTAACCCATTCCGATATCACAAAAATCATCCTTTTTACGGCGTCCACGTCCTCTGGCATAGGCATTGCCATATTTGGCCTCCAATTCCTTGGCGATGCGCGCCACATCATCATCATTATCGGCAAATGGATCAGTGCTTCCATTGTTCGTTTTCCCTTTCAGCATTTTTGCCTTTTTCTGCAGGGGATTTGGATAGTTAGACAACAAAAGCACCTAACAGTATGGAAGCGATTACCTTCTCCAAGTAGAGCAGCTTTGAATAGTTAAACTCTGGATACCTATTGGAGTCCGTCTCGAACAGTTCCAGCTGCAACCGAACGCTTTTGTTCGCCGATTTGCTGCTCTTGTTGGGCTGCACTGCATCCGGGTCCAAGAAATCACCGAAACGCGAGAATGTCGGCGGCATAGAACTGAAGCCCGCTTCATTGCTATTAAAAATGCTCCTTTGAGTGCTGATTGTGGTAAGGGATACACGCTTGTGCTCGCCCAGCTTCGACATTGCCGCCGCCGCCGCCCCCCAATCGTGAGGCTGAATTCAGAACACAATGCGAAAAAAAAATAATAATCGAAAAACGCGTTACGAAAATTCAGACGCGAATCGTTTTAGTTGCCTTCCCGCCCTTTTGCTAAACAGCACGCCGCGTGTTTTGTATACCAAACAAAAACAATGGCAGCAGCAGAGCGACAGCAGCAGCAGCAGCAACAACAACAACAATAACAGTAACGGCAACGACGACGGCGACGTCGGGCCCCACCTCCTGCTGGCTGTCAGCGATGTCTGCTTCTGCTTCTGTTTCTGTCCGTGCACGTACACCACCAGCGCGACAAATACTCTGCCAGCTCTTGGCCTGTTTTCACTATTTTGTTTAGCAATTTAGAAATGTGTGCAGAATCTGTTATAAACAAAAACAAATGCGATGATTCGGCGATTTAATTGGTTGCGTGCGCTCTTTAGTTCGTTTAAAAAGTATCCACTGTAGCTGCACTTGCAGCACCCGACGAAATAATTTGTCACTTTTTGTGCAATTGAAAATAAATTTGTAGTTTTGGCGTCCAGCCGGCGCAAACAACACAAAGACTTTGGCCAAGCACACATATGATCATAGACACTTATAGCTATGGCCAAGCGAGAGTCTTTGATTAAATTAAAGCATAAGGTTTTTTAAAATCCTGAACTGTTTTTAAATTTGTTTTTCTTTTTTATCAAATCTTATGCCGTCTTCAACGCTAAACATTTTCACTGCACTCATGCCGCCGACCCCGCAATTAATAAATTGTATCACTTACCAGCACTGGCCGCAGATTTGCAATATGACTGTCTCGCTCTAGTTGGGCTCTGTTCACACTTGGCGCCCGAAACTGTTGCGCAGCAATATTTAATGCAAATATTTTGATTGGAATGTGAGTGCTCACTTATTATCAAGCATATTATTTTTAGCGTGCTTTAAAAACACCTGTAAGCTAAATTACCAACTTATAAAATACGTATGTTCCATTACCTTTAGCATGGAGTAAGAGCTAACTTCGTGAACTTTAAAACTTGGAAAATTAATTAATATAATGTAATACATTTCAGTTCTGTTATCACTGTACTAACTGTTCCTCAACCACTCGAGGAATAAATTCCTTGGAGTAGATTTTAGGTTTATTGTAAGGAATAGTTGGCCTTGTGCTTAGAGTCTGTAAAAAGAATGGCAAAATTTATCCTATTGGAATTATTTTATGACAATCACTTGTTTATACGATACTATCGCAGCAATACTGCTGATGTAAGTCAGTGTGCATAACATTTTTTGTTTTGTTTTGACTGTCCTTTTCGTTGGCCAACACTGCTCGAAACAGCTGAACGCAAGTGGGGAGCTGCTTTGTTGGGTCTCTCTCAGTGTTATTGCGTGCATTGAGGCTGAATGCTTCGCAAAACGCCAAGTGAGTGTCATAAATACTAATTTAATTGAAGTATTTTTTTAGAGCATATTTATGTATGTGTGAGTGTGTGTATGTGTGTCAACTCTAGACATAAAGTTGCATGCATAGCAATTCAAGCCGAAATGCATGCAGTTATTAACAAAATTGTTAAACCGTGCACCTTATCAGAAAATGGTGTGCAATAAAACGGTGAATGTGTTCCATATTGGCTACAGTCCGAGAGCCTTGTGATTAAGGCGTGTGCCTCTGTGAGTGTGGTGTATATTTATGTTGCCTTTATGCTTGCAGTTCCAAGTACACCCCCTCCTGCACTTTCCCGTTATTGACGCCAAGTGACCGCCGCCGTTCAAAGAGCAACGTACGCGACTCCAACAAAGGCAACCACTTTAGTCGTTTACTGACTTTCGCCTGAGACGCAAGCCGAACGCGATTCCTGCATTCGCAAACAAAGCGATTTTCAGGCCACCCACCCACCAACCAACCTGGATATTGGACAAACGGCTATGTGGAGACAATAAAGAATCGCCTTGTTCATTGTTTCAATTGTTTTCGTTGAACGGGAGGAGAAACTTCGTGCACAGGTAGACACACAAAGGCCCCGACCAGGGTGAGTAATGTATATGCATGTGCTCTATTAGTAATTAATGTGGCTCGTTTTACGCGTATTTGCCATTTGGTAAAACAAATAGACACAAATGTCGCACAGACAACAACATTGGTCGATAAGCAAAGCAGCAGCAGTAGTTGCAGTCTTATCTATTTCCTATTTGTGAAAAATTCAAATACATGGTATTTTTCTGCTCTGATAAACAAGATAAAAATATAAAAATTATAAGACTCCACACGGCTGCCGGTTGTGCCCACACATTCTCCTCCACCTTCTTCTGTTTACTATTGCTCCTGTCTGTATACAGTTACAGTGAAAGAACGAATATTATTTTGTGCATCTGGTGGAGCTATCCACCTAAAAGCATCGCTGATGAAATAGGAATACAAATGCATTAGTTCATGTAGATATTGGAAAACTTCTATCGTAAATTGACAACTTTTTCTAAGATTTCCTGAGATGTCAGAACGTCAAGCTGTGTCGATTAAGACATGTGCTTTTTCCCGTCTCGAAATTTCAAATATATGTATATGTATGTACATATGTACATATATATTCTCGTAGAACCCTGCTCTTTAAAGTGTAATAGTGTTGGACAAAGAGGGGTAACAAGAACGTATGTAAAAGTACGCACAAGACAGCTGTCCGTTAGAAGAGCATTCACTGTACTTGAAACCGAGTTGCGGTAAATGACCTTGAATGTGTCGCCTTGTCAGCCAAATATGTTTTACAAATTTCAATTTCAATGGAAAGCGAATTATTTCAATGAAAATAACAGTGCACACCTCGCACAGGCGCCCGTTTAGGCCCCAACAGGTTTTGTTTTTATTTTGGGCAACAGTGGCAAGGCGGACCACAAAAAAAAACAGACAAACAACAACAGAAAAACGTGCGGCAAGCAACAAGTTGCGCATAAATGTGTGTGCACACATAATTAAATGTATTTAATACGCTTTTAATGCGTCATTATTGCCAATTTACGCAATGCTTTGTTGGAGCCGGTAGCGATTGTGGCTCACGTTCATTATCAAAGAGCATCAGCATCACAAGTCAATATACACACGTATACACACACACAACATATGTATGTAAAAGAAAAACAAAAGTAGATATACACACACATATGTATGTATTTATGTACGTTCAAACGTGGAGGAGGCAACCGATCACTTTGTGCGCCGACAGGCGAATACGCTCACCCATAAATTCCCCTGCAAGGAATTTGATGCAGAAGTAAGCGAGTTCTGTGGTCAAGCTTAATTTAAAATCCGTGCGTTCTGCGACACCACGGTCAGCTTTGAACAGTAACAGATTACGATTGTCGGGCTCCATTGTGAGCTACAATATTCTTTGTGCCCACTTTTGAGCTTGAATCCTGCACGAATTCAAGTATTTTTATTTGATTGTTGTTTTTTTATTTGATTTGGAGATCCTATATCTATAACTTACAATGGAATTGACCTCAAGATAAATTCAGTAATATAGCAAATATATTTTTTTCTTTTTATGTAGTAATATATAGAGCATCCAGAAATGTAGTTCTTTTGCAGTTAGAAAACATATCTGAAACAAGAACGTTATAATATCCAAGCGACCCCAGTGTCTCTTCAAAAGTTTTATTATGCTATTTTATGGTTAGCGTGTGCTTACGCGGCTCTGTCCGCTCTATTTGAAATGTACTGAAGCAGTTTTGTTTTACAGTCATAACTGGGAAGCTAAGAACTATATAAATCACATGACTCTATGCTCATGTATGGCAATGATATGCCTATATAGTAACTGTAATATATTTATTATTATTTTATTCCTGATTATTTTTAGAATATAAATACTGGTCCATTTAATAGAAAGCAGTGAGGTGTTTCGAAACGTTAATGTACTCTTGTATGCATGGCATAAAAAATTTATACTATTGTTCACAGAAATACGTTTTAATTAGACTCTATATAACACAGTGGTTTGATAAAATATACTCTATATATATATATATTGTTATGAATTCTTCTCATAAGTTTGATCGTTTAATTTTTGTCACTTCCCTAAAAAAGAAATCGACTGCATAGCAAGTTATGCAAGTCGTGATATCATGCATATAGCCTTTATTATAGAGCATTCAAAGTGCAGACAATGTACGATTGTCCATTGAGCCGTGTGTGTGAGTGTGTGTGTAGTCTGTCTGCTATCTACTGTGCTTTCAATTCGAAGCAATGACGAATGTTCTGAAATAACTTACAATGAACTATGTTTATATATGTACTACTATGTATGTATATGTAGTATATATCGCAGCCGATAGAAAGCAAAAACATGAGATAAAATCTATAGAAATGAACATTATTGATGATGCTGAGTTGTGCTCTGTTCGTTCTGTACTGTGCGGTTCGTCTCTAGTCTAATGACAGTTTTTCAATTCTATATTTGACTCCAGAGCGAGCGAGAGATGCCTGAGAACGTGGAGCTGGTGAACAAATATGGCGAGCCGTTGCGCTATGATCGAAATTTTCAGGGACCCCGACAGCGTGATCGCAGCTGCACGGATGTGCCCTGCTTAATACTATTTGTGCTCTTTCTGGGCGGCTGGGCATTCATAGCCCACTATGCCATACGGATGGGGGATCTCAATAAGCTAATGGCGCCCACGGACATGTATAATCAAAAGTGCGGCATTGATTCCAGCGTGCTCGATAAAGAGTATTTGTTCTTTTTCAATCTGGACCAATGCATTGATCCGCTGGTGCCCATAACTGGCTGTAAAACGCCGCAAGTAAGTATCCGGATGCCGCTTTGCCATGCTTCATGACACATTTCATCTCGTCCGTTTTTACAGGTCTGCGTCAAAAGTTGTCCCACGCAGACGTTCGTTTGGGATAAGATGAAGAATAATAACTTTGAGGATTTGAAAAGCCGCCTGATTTGCAAAACGGATGAGGACAAGGCAGCCATTAGCTCCAAGTCGGACATTGAGCGTGCCATCCTGGATAATCGTTGTGCGCGCTATTATATCAAAAGTCAGCCCTTTCTCAAACGCTGCATGTTTGAGTTCTCGGATCAGGTATGCGAATTTCTGCCCAGCGTGCTGCTGCGAACGCGCCGCGACTCAAAATTGCTGCTTCCCGGCAATGCTAGCCAGGTGGAGGAGCTACAACTGCAGGCAATGGCCCTGACCATGCAAACTGTGGGGCAGGCGCAGGCACGTATGGCGCCCCAAACTATAAGCAAGCAGGCGCCAGTGGAGGACCAGGTTGGACAGTGTCGCCGTCAGCAGCTAAACGGCGCGGTCATTAGGGAGAAAATGATGCAAACGGATACACGACTAGCCAAGATGGTGGGCAATCTGGTGGCGCACTTTTATAATGGCACCCACGATGCGCAGCGGCTGGGCGAGGAAATAGTCGAGGATTTGGTCAATTCCATGACAGTGGTTCTAATGGCGCTACTCTTCACGCTGATTGCTTCGCTGGTCTTCATTTCACTGATGCGTTGGCTTGCCGCACCCATTCTCTGGTTCTCCATCGTTGGCGTGCTCGTCGGCCTGCTGTTGGCCATATACTACAGCTTCAAGCAGTACAGCTTCTGGAACAAGACACCGACGGTACCGTTGCACGATTTGAATCTGCATAAGCAATGGCAGAATCTGCTGCAGGATCCAAAGATGTGGCTCTATTTGTCCATTGCGGTGTGCGTCTGCTTTGTAGTCATATTTCTGCTGGTCATTGTGCTGCG